ACAATTTTAGGCAAGAAAAGTATTTCTTCTTCCTTCAAATTCAAACTATAATCCACTTTTTTAAATTGATTCTCCTCGTTTACATTTTCATTGCCAAAATTATTTATTAATTTCTTGATAGTTGAATAACAAACATTAAATTCTTTAATGATTGAAGGATAAAGACTATTAAAATCTAATAAAATAACATAATTTTGATAAAATCCTCTTTCTGGTGATAATACTAATCCACCAGTGTAACTAACAGAATCATTTGAACAAGATTTTAAAGGAAATAAATAATCATTATTATACAACTCATGCATCAAAGTAAATTCTATTTTATCTGCTCTTGAATTTCCAAAACATTTGTTAATTAAATATCCAGATATTTCAACCATTTCTTTTGCTAAACCTAATGCATTCATTTTATAAAATATTTTCATTAACATTTCACTTGACATTTTGAAATCATGTTTATAATCAATATTATAATAATTACATAACTCTTCTATTGAATATGTCCTACCCTTAATTGTCCCCATAGCAAATTGATAAAGATCACATATTAACAATGGTTTAATTGTATATCTTTTAATGTTAAAGTTATGTAGAATTACAACATTAGGATTCATTTGATTTAATAAAGAATTAAACCTTTGAAAAACATCTGTTTCGTTTTTTAAGTCATAAATACCTTCTTCATTAAAATTTCTCAATCCATCAACAACAGTCTTTTCTTTATCATAAAAAGAAAAACCAATAATTTTTTCATTTCTAATTACAGCAGATATTGCAACAATTTTAAGATCATCCAGTGATGCCTTTCCATCAAATTCAATATTCGTATAATTAACCTCATGTTTATTTCTAAACATAGTTATTTCTTTAACATCAACAATACATGGTGCCATAAGTTTCTTAGATATAATTATATTTTCAACAGGGTTCTTAAACTCTGATACAATTAACGGACAAAATTCTATAAATGATTCATCTATCTTAACCTTTGCAGTAAAACATGCTTTAAGCACTGTAACTTCCATAGGATATTCCT